GGGTAGTCCATTTGGGTAGTCCATTAGGGTAGTCCATGGACTAGGGGTCAGTGTTTTGTCCACCACCGTTAGTGCGCACACATTCTGCACATCATGCAAGACATGGTGAACATAATGGCAGCCTGTTTGTGGCTGAAAAGCAGAAAATTTAAAGTGTTTTAGTTCATTTCCTTTTATAACCGCTTTATCTTTCATGGCTTTTGTATTTTGTTTTTTTATTGATTGTACTTTATAATCTGTTAACCAAAAACATTGTGTGGAATTGTTTGTTTTCATTGTTTTCAGTGATGAACTTCCTTTACAAGAACTTCATGAGGTTCAAATAACAGAGGAGGAAAGCCAAGGTAAATGATTCTAATAAAGAACAATGCACATAGAATTGAGCAGATTTCTTTTTTAAAATGTTGGTCATGGTGTTGCAATTTTCAAAGGATTTATATTTCTGAAGTCTGTATTGGGCTAACTTCAAGAAAAAAAATAGTTACAATTCTGTTTTACTCTTTGCAGGTCTTAAAGGGTGGAAATTGGGTGAAATCAAGGTTGGTGTGTATGAAAAACATAAAATTATGCTGCTAACAGTTTTCCTTCTGATCAGTCCTTAGCACATACATGTTCATGTACATGTACGTAGATAGATAAATACTGTATTTGCAATAAGACAGGGTTGGCATATTTCAGGGAAAGGTTTACCGAGTTAAACCAAAACCAATCATGACTTGTTCGTACATGTTTTCCCAGGCTTCACACTACAGGTACCTACATGTGCAAGTTTTTCCTTCCAGTTTTGATTGGTTCACTGGATTCTGTGTCCTTTGTGAATGATTGAAGTGATTACTTTGGTTGTGGTTGTATGACACTCATTGAAAAGCACTCTATTCTAGGTTTATGTATATGGGTTATTGACCAAGTGTGAGGTCAAGATGGTTGGATATTGTTTGGAGGTCAAGACGGCTTGGATATTGCCAAGTTCTTTTCTTGTATGTTTATGGACTGAGACAGAGTCGAGGTCCATAAACTCCCAAAAAAAGAACGAGGCCAATATCCAGCCATCTTGACCGAATTAAGCTTGGTCAATAAAGGATTATTAAATGGCTGTCGGGGAAATTTTTCTTGCGGGACACAGCGGGTAGTCCTGAGGAGGCAAGATAGCTCCATCTTACCCGCTCGGGTAGCCAATCACAGTGCAGGATTTGATTCATGTTGCCCGTTCACAGAGCTAGCCATATGACAAGTAAACCTAATAAAGTGATCATATACAGGTAGTAAAACAACATTCACATAAAACTTTGGTTAGCCCAGTTGATGGTGTTACACTAGAATGTGTTAATGTATATCTTCATTTATTTTAAGTAAGTGGTGCTGAAAATAATGTTAATTTTATTTTTTTTTTTTGTCCTCAGTATGACACTGGCTGTAAAATATTTCATAATAGAGACAAGTGTGTAATTGAAATAAGAGGTGACCCTCAACAGTGCAAGGTAATTAGTGATTGTGTACCTACATGCAGTGTCTTAAGGATGTGCTGTATGGAATTTGTAATACATGTAGTTGTATGTGAATTTGTGTTATCTTTTTTTTTTCTTTTTTTCTTTCTGTTCTGGCATTGTATAATGTTGTAACTGAATCTGAATTTTTTATACTTGGTTTGAAGTAATATAACAAATATGGAGGGCCATGTTTCACCACATTCCCAAACACTGAGAAGAGAGTTGAATATGACACTTACAGTGTAGTAGAGTATTTTTGATGAACTTCTAGGTGTTTGGAAATGGGGTCAAACATTGTCTTGAGTGAAATTGTAAAAATCTATGCTAATTTAGATCAGATATCCAAACAACGTCACATTCATAATTTTTTTTTCTGTAAACTTGATAAAATAATAATCATAATAATAATAATAATAATAATAATAATAATAAGGAAACATTGTAAATTAGAATATACATGTTATAGTGTTATCTTTATTGTAACTTATTTTGTCCAAATTAAAAATAAATTGATAATAATTCTGTTTTATGGATGTTGAAGTATTGATACATGCACACTAATCATGTGTCACAATACTATTGTGACAAATGATCAGTGGTAACAACCATTGTCCACAAACGTGTAACTGATGTACATGTCCTGGAGAAAACAGAACATGGTTGTTTGTTCTTTTTCTTATCATGGAGGAGCGGTGGCCTCATGGCTAGTGCACTGATCTCTGAATTAAGTGGTCTGGGTTCAAGCTGTGGCTGGGGCCTCTCTCCACCCAGGTGTACAAGTGGGTGCTGGTGAATTTAATGCTGGTGGGTAACCCTGTGATGGACTAGCATCCCATCCAGGAGGGACAACAAATACTTCTAGTCACTTCATACTGCAGAAACCAGAGATAAGCACCAGCCTGATGGGCCACTTGGCTTGTATGCAGACTTTACCTTTACCCCTCTTTTTCTTATGTACTGTAGGTTGCAAAAAATAGAGTGTACAGTGTTATTGCTGCAGTCCAAGAAGAGTTTGTAAGTCACACTTTTTTTTATTAATTTTTAACTTAGTATTAGGATGGCATCAGATACATGAAATGGGATACGACATCGTCCCTCCAGCAGGCAAAAATATATTTATATGCATACATATGCTTTCATGAGGAGGATAAAAGAAAGAACAATGACTAATGCATGTAACATAACTAAGCACTGGATAGCTACAGTGATCTTCAAAGACTTGATGTTTTTTTTCCTCTCGGATTACGCTTCAGTGGATAATGTGAGGGTTCATCAAATTCAGAATGTGAATTTTCCCTAGACCTGCTCTAAGATTGACACCATCAATCTTTTATGCAGGTGTTTCAGTAAAGGGAGGGTTTTACGCCTCAGCACATGTCTCTGAATCAAAATACTTTTGTTCACTTTGTATCAATGTTATCGCTTTAGAAACCCTGCTCTGATGTAGTTCAGTAATCACATGCTACAGTTAGTCGTGGCAGAATGATGGATGACCAAAATACTCAGAAGATTTCTGTTGATTTTTCCTTCAATTTAGTGTTGATACATACAATTTATTCTACAGTTGATGATTTTGCAGCTATTTGCATGCGAAATAAGGTAACTTGCTTATGATTGGTTCATAAACAATGAAAAACTGGGCCTGTGCCAAAGAACGTGTACAGGCGAATAAATAATACAGACATGTGCCAAAACGTGAAACCCTCCCTTTAAGGCTGTGCAAATTGATCGACTGTGAGGACGATTCTGCTTGCCTGGTTTGACCATCTTGCAGAAAGATAAAGAATTCGACTGCACTATACATGGAGGTTCAGTTCAAAACGTTTTTCCTGCCTGTGAAGACTTAGTGCTTTCTGGCTGAAAACCTTTAAGCCCTTAAGTGAAACCCTTGCTTTCTTGCTCATCCAGAAAATGTGCAAAATTTGTGACTATACATGTAAGAAACATTTGGTATCATTTTAGGCCTGAGGACTCAGAATACCATTACATTGATTTATACACAGTGCACGTGCATTGCTGAACTAAGTCATTAATATTACTCCGTACTGTACTGTTATTCTGTCAGGGTGCCCTTGTTCCACTCTCAGATGAGGTTATTGAGCATCTTCAAATGGAAGGTTGCAATATGCTGGCTGAACGACTGGCATTGTTTTCAGGAGCTAGTGTCAAAATGATTAATGGTATGTTCTGTTCCTGCATATGTGCGCTGTAAACATTCAGAGTGCTAGGTCAGGGGAATAAACAAACCCTTTAGAGAATCAACTCGGTGTGTGGTAACCTAGATGATCACTGATCAATAGGGGGTTGAAAACCAGGAAACAGTATGCTGAATAGTATCACTAGTGTCACAATGTTACTGTAGATGTACATGTATGTTTACAACTACCAGTTGTTAGCATTGTGCTTTTTTTTTGTAATGGAGCTTGTCGCTGTTAGGGGTGTAGCTAGCCTTTAAGCCATTAAGCACGGGCTCAAAAAGAACTCCTGTAAATAATTTTTTAGTAACCGAAAGGGCATATTTTCTTTTTCTCACTATTCAATAGCGAATCACCGCTATATCAACGTTTTATTTTGAAAAACAAAATAATTACTTTCAATTTTTCACATGAAAAAATGCTGAAAGGTTATTAACAAAGCAGACCTTTGAAATAGTTCTGCGCACAAAAATTTAGTTGACTGTTGTTGTTGTTGTTTTTGGCAAAATTTGATATACGGCTGACGCTGTACAATTTGGGCGTAAATGGAAAAAATGGCTGACTACGCCCTTGGCTGTAAATAAATACAGTAATGTTTAAAACATTTCAATATGAAAATCAGCAAAAGTAAAATTGAACGACGTTTTGATGACTCCATATCATAATAGTGTGCGATAGTGAAATATGTCTGTAAATAGTGCCAATTAATAAAATCTGAATCTGAAATCTTATCAAGTTCAAAGTACATGATAGAATTGAATGATTGTGCATAGGCAAAATAGCATGAAAAAATTCGGAGGTGTTAAAGTTTCAAGTTTGGTGCGAATGGAGACTGATGGCATGTCCAATTTTTGGTTTCATGTTCCTAATGAACAGCATCTCTTAGAGATACGTACACACAGGTTTTTCTTCCCTTCTCATAATTATAATCTCAGTTTTTCTTTCTTGTTGAAGAGTGGTGTACTGATTATTGTGACTTGTTTTTCCTTCGTGTAGACACACAACTCTTCATATCAGGTCACCGTACCTGTGTGAACCTTGCAAAGGCACAGCTTGCCAAGATTAAGGTCATGGTGAGTGTATCAGTTGATCTGCATTACAATTCAGGTACTGACTGTGTATAAGAAATGAAATCACTGAGTTACATGTAAAGCTTGCTTTTGGAAGAGTCGTGGTCAGATTGTAAAATACTGAACACTGAATCGTCAAAGGAAAGTAGTTTGTTGACATTAAACTAGGCACAAACAATAAGACGATACGCTAGGGAAAACGTCATGCAGGGTTCTGTACTTCGGATTTCATAATTGTGATCGCGTAAGATTGGCCGAAAGTCAGACATACATGGACATACTTGTACACACTTTGTTCGTTTAACCCGAGAGGCCTTTATAAAGTGACACGTAAAACCTATATGTTTGACAGCTGAGATACACAGACGACCCAGATGTGCAAAGCCCAAGCCAACAGAACAACAGCGAGGAGAAGTATCAAGTTGTGGAGAAACTGTTTGCAGCACTGGAAGGAAGACCCAGACGTGCAACAGGTACCAATGTATTACTTGTTCGTGCTTTAGGCCTGGGGAGACCATATGAAAAGGTCTCTTAGGGGTAGCAATCAAGGATCCTGGTCTCACTAAGAGTGTTGATGACGAAACGCCACTTTTTTAGCTGTCAAAGTATCTTTTAAGATGCACTCAAAGACATATAAGAATATATATTTCGCTCTTCGAGCCTCTTCAGTCGTCTGCCATATTGGAAATGTCAAAGCGGTTGAGACGGTTCAACTTTTGCGAATGTAAGAAGCTTGGCGTGATCTGTATAGCAGTCAAATAGACTAACGTTTTACAAAATTACTGGCAACAGATCCTGGCTGTACAGACCAAGCCACCATGGAAGAAAGCTTATCCAGAGATTTCTTACTTAGTTGTGCCTTATCGCCAGCAGCCAGGCAACGCCCTGCTAGTCTTAGCTTAGACAGAACAGAAGATTGGGTCAAGGACATTGTCTTGGTTAATGTAAGTACCTTATATATTACATACCAGGCTTATTACGGTAGATTAAGATATCAAAAATACCTTTTTTAGATAACATGCTGTCTCCTGTGATAGTTGACTGTTGTGCAAGCCAAGCCTTAAGAGAGTTCATAACATTAAGCTACTAAAATTAATACATTTTGCTTTATTTTCTATGAATGTGTAAGTTCACTTATGGTGTTTGTCTGCAATCCGTTCTTTTTCCTGAAAAGTAATCTTACCTGTTGTAATTTTTTTTTATCCTCAAGAGCTAAAGAAAACGTTTTCCTTCCTTTCTCTAGGCTGCTGTCCCTAACTTTCATCCATTTTCTGTCTTCTCTTTCTTACGATCGGCACACACTCGAGGACGGGTTGCGGGAACATGAAGCGGGGACAAGCCTCTTCTTGTGTTCGCATAGGACGCATATTGCGGGTAAAATACGCAAGGTGGTGCACACAGGGACACTTTGCAAGAGCAGTGCACACGGTGCGACTTTGAGAATTGAGTTCATTTTGTTCCTGCTTCATGACGCACGAATAGCTGTTATCGAAGTTATCAGCGGTTTGACATACAAACGAGGTGAAAGGGTCAATTTTGCTTTGTATTGACCTGTTCGCCTCGTTTGTATGCCTTTTTAAACAAAGGAATATTTGACCGCAGGCTCAACTGCAGTGAGAGCTATTCAAACCAGCTGAATTTCATGCAATATGCTGCAGAGACAAAATTCTGCCTCCCTCCCCCTCCCCCTCCCCCTTCCTCTCCCCCGCAATGAGAAAAGCTGTCGCAGAAACATTTCCCGTGTCCCCGTTTGACGTCCCCGCAACACGTCCCCCAGTGTGTGCCGACCTTTATGGCTACCTTGTGTTTTAATATTGATTCTCACTTATTAATGTACCATTTACTCGTCAGGGGAGGAGAGGGGAACAGGCAGTTCTTGAGAGGAAAGGTTTTGGATTACCCACATTCGATTCCAGGCCACCATCAAATTAAACCATACATACCTTGCTACAATTCTTGCTCGAACGTTAGAACTTATTGGACATTTTATTGAATTATGTTGTGTTTTGAAGACAAGCAGCTTGTTGGATTACGAGAGAAAGGGACTCTTGGAAAGTGCGTGCTTTAATTTGATTATCCTGCACGACAGAAAAAATTGTTTTGGGACGAACTTTAAACTTGTATTTTTGTGGGGGTGGGGGTAGTCTGGGAGGTAGATTAGATATTTATCTCAACGACGAAGTGTACATTCTGGTGGCTGGACCATTCGTGCATACCCCTTCCCCTTCTAAATGTTTATTTTCCTTCCCTAATTATGATTGAACAGAATTACAAAATTGAAGAAAATTTTATTTCGCCCAGCATTTTCCATGGGCATACAAATTTGAAATGACTGTTTAGAATTTGTTCCAGTTGTTTGATGTGAATAAAATGTGCGAATCAACATGTGACGTTTTGTAAGTAAGCCTCTCGTGATGTTTATGGTTGGAGGAAGGAAGGCTGGTTTGAACAAGTCCTTACTCTGTACAAGCACTGAAAAGACCGAGGTGTTAAGACGAAATCCGACAGGAAATCGAGCAATTTCAGTTTTTAGGGGACAAAAACCTTGTACCATCATAATTTTAAGTATATTACTGTTCTTTTTGCATTTTTTAGAAGTCAAAGATATAAATATTTGCCTGAAACAATTTCGCTTGGGAACTCGAGAAAATAGATTTCAAAGTAGAGAGAAAATGTGGAAACACAGGAAAAATTTCATCATCAGTTTCATTTCATCAGTACTTTTAAGTGTTCATGGGAACTTTAAAATTTGTTTCGACATTTATTGTTGTTAGAAATGATTTCTTTCGCGAAGATATTTAAAACAGTTGCACAGTCCATGTAAATAAGCTCGGTACAAAGTTTTTCCCCTTGTTACTCGAAATTCCTGTGGTTTCCTTAGTTCAACAGCCTCTTCTTTTACCGCTGCTAAACGCGGTCTACGTAGTCGGTGGTGGCTCATCCAAGTTGTGAAAGCACAGTTTAGCCTCGGTCAAGGTGTGTTTGTATCTCCGTGTAGACCTCAATTCAGTCATAAGAGGTTTAAATTGGACGTGGTTTGTATAATGGGCCAGTATTTTGGCCGTTTGGCCCAAAGAAGTGTCCATCATGACCAACATTTGATATCCAGTCACAATCGGAAATATAGCAAGATTCTCGAACAAGATTCTCGATTCTCCAACAAACAATGGTGCCGAGTCGAGGTGAGGGTGGACCCAAATACAGCAAATGTATGAAAGTGCCTACCCCAACCCCGCTCTGGTGATATTGTTCGAACGCACGGAAGCGGAATACGAGAAAGGTCTCTTTGTATGGGTTATTGACCAAGTGTGAGATCAAGATGGCTGGATATTGGCCAAGTTCTTTTTTTGCGTGTTAATGGACCGAGACGGAGTCGAGTTCCATAAACTCGCAAAAAAAGAACGAGACCAATAACAAGCCATCTTGACCGAACAAGCTTGGTCAATAAAGGACATTGTATGGCTTTCGGGAAAATTTTTCTTGCAGGACACGGCGGGTAGTCCCGAGCGGGCAAGATAGCTCCATATTGCCCGCTAGGGTAGCCAATCACAGCGCAGGATTTGATTCATCTTGCCCGCTCACGGAACTAGCCATACAATAAGAGCATTTATTGAACAGTAATGACTGGTCTCATAGGTCATTATGTGATAATGACACGAGATTCGCGCGCGCGCCTGTACTTAGGTTAAAACGGCAGACTACTGATTTGCGCGGTTCATCAAAAGGACTGTAAACTTGGGATTTTCGACAGGCACTCAGTTTTTTACGAATTCTCCAACATTTACGAGTAAGCCTTGCCTGGTTCCTAGGCCTAGGTCGTAAAACTGGCGGGAAAAAATTGTTACGTGCTCATGTCTCCCTTGTTTCCAGAGTCCGAATAGGCGATTTGCATGATGGGGTCATTTGACTACAACTACCAGAGTCCTTCACTTTTTTTCTGTTTCTTATGCTAATTAGGGCAATTGTTGTTTAAACCCCACTGGGAATTCAAAATTTAATTAAGAAAGAAAAGAATTCTGGTAGTTGTAGTCAAATGACGATTACGTGCAAATCTGCTATTTGGGTACGGAAACGACCATGTAGCGCACGATTATGTTCTCAGCGAGAGACCCTGGGAAGGAGGGTAAATAGTTGTAGCTATAAGTTACGTTTCTCGGGTCACAGTGGGTTCCACAAGCCTTGGTTAACTGTTATGTTAGGTTTTCAGCGGGAAAAACATTCGATGGGCGCTGACTTTACGGCGGAAAAAGCATCGTTTAAAGAATAAATCCCATGATTTACCCACCAGGATAGGTTTGTTCTGTGATTGTCCATGGTGTAAATGATAACTTTTTTTTATTATTATTTCCAGCCAGAAAGGTGATGCTAATAGACTTGTGAGATGGCCACTGTCCACAACTTCTCCTCTTCATATCACTCTTAGGGAAAAGACCAGACATAGTGTAATTTGTTACTTTATTATCTATTTTTTCACATACAGTAGTGTGAATGTACAGAAACGCCAGAAAAAAAGTTACAACTACATGTACCAACCCCTGCCCGCCTCCTCTGTAAATTGTATAAAACTTATGGGAGACGAACCAAGTTGACAAGTTGATTATTAACACCATTCACAAGCTATTAAATAATTTGACAAATATCTCCCTAAGTGGTACTTATTCTTTATGGTCCATATGCTGTTTACAGGCATTTAAGCAACTCGCTTTTGAAATGAGAGATGGGGCCAGAGTGTGAACGCAACAATTTGTCGGTGTTTGACCGACTGGCAATATAAACAACGTAATAACAGTGAAAAGAGAACAGTTTAAACCTTTCCCAAGAATTTCTTCCTCACCATTAGTTCCTTAGACAATAGCCCTTTTCGCGGTTACCTTTGCATTACAATAAAATCTAGCATGTATGTGAGGCAATTTCGGGCTATTTTGTAGTTTTAGCCCGAAATCACCTCGCATCCACGTTGGATTACATTGTAATGCAAATGAGAAAAATTAACCGTGAAAAGGGCTATTGCGCGTCTACTTTCGTCAGAACATAATCCCAGGTTGTTCTCTTACTGTGACGTCACAACATAGCAACGTGACAAGATGGTGGGAAAGAAACGCCTGTGAAATCTGCCTCGCGCTGAGCGCTCGATCGATTTTGAAATTACTCGCTCGATCACTCCCTGAATTGTATTCCACCAGTCCAGTTACTATAAAGAATTGGACTCCACTCAGTCCCATTACCATTACTTATCCTTCTCTCGATTTGCTAGCTACATCTAATTGTATCTTCTGTATAAAAAATATATTCCCTGAGATTTTCGTGATAATTTCACAACCTCTTGATCCAATTTATTACAAATTTCTCTGCGCAGCAAGCAGTGGATGTTTTACTGTAATACGTGACTGTGTTTCTTCTGTGACACAGCGCTCGTTAGTTCGTCAGCTTTGAATAGCTGGGTGGAGCGTATTTACGCCTGAGATACTTTAAAATGTAGAGCGGTAGACAGCTGACTAAAGTGATGACAACCACCTTCCACAAAAATTCAGTCGACACCAGGAACTTTTGGTCTGAAAAAAAGAAAGAAAGAAAAGTAAAAGTTTTTTAGTTTTTTTCTACATCTATTTCTCTCCTCCATACCTTGCAAACCCGCAGCTCCATGGAAATAAGAATTTTGCTTACAGTAAACAAGATCAAGACCCGATCAGTATCTGGGAGGTATGGGTTCGACTCCTGTCGGGGACTTTATTTGCCGAGTTCAGTACTTACTAGCCTGCAGCGCAGCCGTATTTTAGCGGAAGCTCGGTATTTCCGGCCTACGCAAAATGTTTGGCCGCCATCTTGAGTTTTTGAAGCAGAGGACTGAAGGTTGGGGTCTACCAGAGGGTTAGGCGATAGGCGAGAGGAATCCTCATCCAACCTAAATCAAACACGGCGGCTCGGCGAACGATCGCGTGGTCCGCGGCATCACGGTAACTCGCCGATTTGATCAGGAAGTGTATAAATTATCTCATCTACTCGCACAGAATTTAAGCATCTCTATTGAGAGTAAGCAGGCAACTTAAATCTAGTGCGTTTTAAGATGCCGGATTCATAACTTACCAAAGTAACCCCTCAAAACGATGAGTGTACCAATGTAAAGTGCAAGACTAATGACTTCAGCTAGTAACATGAGCCAGTGCCATGTGCGTATGGTCAGCGCCACCATCAGCAGTTCAGTGAGAATTAACGCAGTGAAAGTTATGGACACCACGTGAATAAAGTCCTGATCAAACAGAAGAAGACCGCCGAACATTATAATTCCACCTACATGGGATAGAAAAACAGGACTCACTGACGTTGTTAGTTGACGTTGTTACGAGTGAAAAAGGTCTCTTGATGTCCCCAATCAGTCCGCTAGGGCTAAATACTTTGACACTTAAATCAAGGTTCTTATCTTATCTCTTGTAAAGTGAAATAAAAAAGTTACAAAAGTACAGAACAAGATAGCCTCTTCCGGGCGTTTAGTTAGCTGGGACGCAGCGTGAAAAATGGCGTACAAAATAGATCGTAAATTTTCAAAGATTCCTTTATCTGGTAATTCTCATAAAGGACTTGACACAAAGGTAGCAAAACCAAACATATAAATCTGCAAGAAAGCTCCAGTGTCATGTTAGAATTTTTCATCTATCGAACGTGGGTATTGAAAGCCGTCCTAAACATTTACCTTGATATATACTGATCAGAACCCAAATAAAGAAAGTCTTGTAGGAGAGTGACCTGCCCTGAGGAGAATGAAACGAACATACATATTTAAATATTGCCTTTGTTGACAAGAATTACCATAGCATGTTAGATAATGAAACATAAAACAGAAGAGTCGAGCAATATTTATTACCAACCTTGGATAAATCTTTGTATAACTCTGGGTAAATCAAAGCGATGTCAGCAGGAACATCCTCGTCCAACACGAGAGAGAAAACTGGAAACATTGTGTACACTGTGCCATACCTAAAACAGAACGAAAACATGGATTAGATCGGGTTGTCAGAAATAAAACAATTTTGTGACTTAGACTTACGTAAATTATATCTCACGAGGAGAAAATAAAAATAAAAAATCACTAAAAAAATCACTAAAGCGTACACCTACCCAATCATGAAAATACCTACCCAATCATGAGAAACCCAGAGAAAAGTGACACTGAGGCAAAATAGAACACACAAGAGAACACCGCCTGCAACATAATGGAAAACACGAATAAAAAACGTTTAATATCATCCCTATCTAGAGCTTTTGGCGAAAGTCGAAAGTGAGGCCTTGCCCACACTACGCCGGAGAAATTTGAGAACGCAGCTTTATTTCTACGGATAGGCCTGCAGTCCACACTAATCCGTCACAAAAACCGAGCTTTTCGAAAACGCTCCTCAAACCGGAGGAATTTGAAAACGTAGCTTTATTTCTACGGTTAGGCCT